CCGAAGGTCAGAAAGGGGGCTGGAGGCCAGGACCAAGCAAGGGAAATAAGGCCGGGGGGTCGGGGGTCGGGGGTCGGTGCCCGGTGCCCGGAGGAGGGCGTCCCACCCGAGTGAAGGGGGAGGGAGGCGGGGCAGGGGCAGGGGGCGCTCACCGCGAGGGTTGAGGATCAGCGGCGTCCACAGTGCCCACTGGTTCCGCGCGCCGAGGGAGTGGAGAGGGCTCCCGACGGGCACGGGGCCGGAGGAACGGCGGGGTTCGCCCTCGAACCGCCTCGGCGTGGGCACTTCCTTCGGGGAGAAGGGCCCCAGCCCCGGGGCCTGTAGGGGCCGCACGTCTGGCTCCGGCTTCATTTCGATGACGAGGGCCGGCATCTCCATCTCGTCGTCTGTGTTGGCGGCGGGCGCGGGGTCTACTCGGCGGGGCATGCAGCCGGCCTTGCGGCGGGACATGAGTCGAGGGCCGGGCGGGCTGGTGAGCGGGCGGGCGGAGGACGCGCGGGCCGTGCGCGCTCAGACCGAGGCGCTCAGGTGAGTGACTGCGGCGACCCGCCGCGAACTCTTACACGTGCTGGCCCGGCCCGTGGCTCCACCCACCGGGGCGGGACCTGGCGGGCGAGGACGGGGCGGCCCCGCAGGGGCCCGGGCGGCAGCCAAACTCGATCAAAGACGAGCCCACCGCATTTTCTTAGCGACCAAACCTTAACGACGCCGAGGTCACACGACCATGCACACAAACGCCCATTCCTGATGCCTTTTTAGGACCGGTGAAACTGAGGCGCAGGGTGCCTACATGCACCCCCGAGAGAGAATACGGCGGGGGCCACGTTTCGGTCCATTCCTTTAAATGCGTTACAATAAAAACTCAGGGGGCAAACATTTATTGAGCACTTCGCACTAGGTTCTGTTCTAAGTACTGAGGGTACAGCGGTGAACAGGACAGCCAATAATCTCCTCTCACGCAGTGTATTTGTTGGGGGGAGACAGACTCTCAACAAGATAACTGTAAAACGGAGTGCCTTCCAGGACGGCAAGTGCGATGGGGCCGAATGAAAGACTAGGAAGGGCTAGAAAGGGGCAGGGTTGCCGGGGTGGGGGTGGG